GCAGAGCACCTGGGTGGGAAGCATCCAGGCTTTAGCGCAGGTGGACGATGGGCTTTGAGCAAGTCCAGCTCCCGCCCTCCCTGGAAACGGGCAGTGAGTGGCTCCTGTAGCATGAGGCCTGGGGACTATGGAAGACTGGGGACCTTCTCTGTGCCTACCGCTGTCACTGTGCCCTGGCCCTGGCGACCCTGCGATACTTGTGGAATGTCCCCCAGTAGACTCACAGTGTGCCCTGAGGAGCTGGGCTTGGACGCCAGGGCTGTGTAGCTGTGAAGCCACAAGCCCGTCTTGAGGATGGATGGCTTCAGGTGGAACCAGGGACTTAGCCAAGACGTGGCTGGGAGGCACAGGGGGTGCTGCTGAGAGTTCTGGGTGCTTTTCCAGGCCTTGGACCCTTGTGCTGGGGTATGCTCGCTCCCCGCCAGCCAGTGCTGGGCAAAGGCTCTTTCCCTTACCTGTGTCCTGGCTCCGGGGTTTTAGTGAAACGGCCCTGCGTTTGCCTCGGTCACACCCACCCAGAGCCTCCCTGGGCCCCTCCTAATGACTCTCAGAAGCTGCTGGATGTAACACTACCCAGTGTTGAAATTACAGGAAAAAGAATTGAAAGGAAATGTGGGAATGATGTATCTCCGGTCAGAGATCTTGGGAACGTCTGAGACAGAATGGCAAGTCCATTAACAGGTCTGGGGCAGGGTGAGGGCCCGGGCAGGAAGTGGGCACAGCTCCTGCTTCCTTTTCCCAGACTCAGTAGAGGGATTTCTAGAGTCTCCCCCACCCCCCCCAGTGAGGGGGCTTTATTACGCAGGAGCTCTGACCAGCTGTTCTCATCCAGCCCTGTGGCCTGCGTCTGTGGCCACAGCTTATGTGTCACCTTGTCTTGAGCTTGTTTGTCACTATGTCCTCATCCTCCCCACTGGCCTGGGAGCTTTCGGAGCCGTGAGATGTATGTGGTGAGTGACTAGTGCCCCCACAGTCCTTCAACGCCCAGTAGTCCTTTCTCTGCTGCTCACGGCTTGTAGGATGGTGGACCCGCTAAGATCCCGGGGCTCCAGCAGCAGACTGGGATCTAGCTCTACCATCTAATAGTCATGCAGCCCTGGGCACGTGGCTGCCCTTTCTAGGCCTCAGCTCCCGGGCTGTAAAGTGGAGCGATGGAGAGCCCTTCCTCGAGGGGCGAAGGATTCATGAGCGGATGCAGGCCGAGGCCACGTTCGCCCCCTGGGACGTGTGGATCCGTTCCTGTTACTATAATTGTACCCATTTCACTGACAAGAGAACAGAAGTCCAGTCGGTGGCAGAGTCCAGATTGAAACCCCGTTCCCTCATCTCCAATGAGTGGGGGTATGAGGTCATGAAGAGAGCCCTGGGCTGGAGTCAGGAGATGTGGCTGTGCCACCAGCTGTCCCCAGTGGCCTGGGGTGTCCCACCGCTGGGCTGGGCCTCTCTTCCTCCTGGTTAGTGAAGGAAGGGCGTTGGTGGCAGGACATCTCAGCCAGCAGGAAACGGGCTGCCAGTCAGGTGTGGTTCTCTCTGAGCTTCTAGTAAGGACCCCAACCCTGGTCGAGCCTCGTATTCTATGCCCCTTGGATGTCCGCCCACCTCCACCTCCCCTGTGCCTAGCCAGGGGCGTTGAGGAGGCAGCCCCTGAGGCAGAAAGCCCCGAGGTCCACGGAGGAGGCGGTCTAAATGGAGCGGGACTCAGGTGAGCCCTGGCCAACAGGCTTCCAAACACACTTATTTTGGTTCAAGTTTTCAGTAAGTAGAAGCCAGGGGGCCCCACCGGGGAGATGTCCATTTTGGGGGAAATCATCAGTATTGTCAGCTTCAAGTCCCCCTCCTCTCCCCTTCCACCTCCCTCCTGTCCCGCCTGCTGAATGTGTTCAGATTTGGGGGAAGAGAGAAGCCTCCATCCCTACAAAGGTAGAATCCTCCACCGAGATCCTTTGTCTGCCTCGTACCTAGCCTTTTTGCCTGAGTGGGTAGCAAGTTGAAAGACTATAAATCTACTTTGGTCTCTTGTTGAGAGTGTGTGTAGGCCGGGGGGAGACCACTTCTTATTGCAGCATTTCCCCAACATGGGGCCCTGCTCTCTGCTCCTGAGAATGTGCCAGGGTGCCGGGTCCCTCCCTCTGCTGTGCCGTCTGAGGGACAGAGCCCTGGCACAGGTGTGGTGAGGGGACAGCTTCAGGTGAGTGGAGGTGGCAGAGGCCGAGGACAGAGCTCTGGGTGGTGTGGGCGACCCGCTGTAAATGGGAGGAGCTGTCTAGCGCACAGAGCCCCGTGGTGCGGGGGCCGTGCTGGGAGGAGAGAAGCAGAGCCTGGCCGTGCTGACCGGGGTGCAGAGGAGCTTCCCCCCAGGGAGGTGACCTATGTGGAGATCTATGTGGAGATCATGGTGGGTTTTCTCTTTGGATGACCGGCTGGTCGGGCCAGGTTCCCTTGTCCTCGGTGTTCTGAACCCCACCTCCCATCAGAGGGGAGACTTCTGAGCTGCTGCTCCTCCCCAGACTTCGCCCACTCCCCATTGCTCCCCACAGGCGGGGCTGGGCCTCACTACTCACCAGGCCTCTGTCCGGAGCAGACTTGTGTGGAGGCAGACCCGTGTCACGTCCACTCACACTCAGGGACCCCCGAGGGAGACACAGAGCCGCCTGCGAACCTTGGGGCATCCAAGAGACAGTTGAGCCCTCTAGACTCAGGTTCAAGTACTGACCCTTCGTAAGCACTGCCATCTATATGGAGGCCCCCGTTGGAGTTAGGCACTTTTGGGCGCTTTATTTATGTTTTCTGTCATCAGTCGTGGAGTCCGCCACTACTAAGCTCGCCCGGCTAACGGGCGCCCAGGTGCGAGGGACCTGGTCAAAGCCAGGCCGCTCCGAGGAAGACTGGCTGTCTCCAGGGGGGCGATGAAGGGTTAGAGGGGGGAGGCGCTCCCTTCTTGCCAAGAGCTGAGGAACCCACAAAAGGCCTTTTTGCCCCCTCTTGGCAACTGGACCTCACCCTTGAACCCGCCTCCTGTTCGTTTTCTTTTTCCTTTTTCAGGGGTTGGCTTCAAATTATCTTATTTGTTTACATTGCACCCAAGTTTTATGGTACAAAAGACTTGCAGGTGCAAATATGTCCCGCCTTCATTAACTTCCCCTTCCTTTTTAATTTATGTGATTTCAATTTTCCTTCCCTGTACTGTTAATTAGGGGACCCTCTAATCAGTGCCATTATCACAGTGGTATTCATGTTTAGGAAAGCCGCTAAACAAATGCTTGCAAAATTGCTAAATGGCTAATTAATGTCTGTTAATTAAGAAAATTGCTCATGGTAACAAACCATGCCGTTGCTGGCAGCCGCTAGAAAGACACACACTTGTTGAAATTAGTAGCATGGCAGGTAGGGGAACATCTGCTCCGCGGAGCTTTCCAGAAGTGAGCAGCCCTTGGCTTGGGCACGAAAATCCAGGCCTGTCCTTAGTGGCACCCGGGCGGAGTTCCTGCCTGGCCCCCTCCATCTTTCTCTGCTCGCCTCTTCTCTGGATCTCCACACCCACCAGCTCGGGCAGGTGAGAGGCTGGGCAGCCTGGCTCTGAGCGAGAAGACGAGGGAGAAAAGCGTGTCTCTCCGAGATTCTTTCTCCCCGTCTCTTTTCATGTAACCACACCCATTCCCATGCATGTTTTAAATTTTTCTCAAAGGCAACTTCCAAGGGCAACAGCAGCCATGGGTGGATAAGAGTGAACGGGGAGGGAAGGGCTGGCTCCTCAGCACCGGCGTCCGGCTCCGAGGGCCCCAAGTGGGCCGGAAGGCGGGCTTTTCATGCTCTTTGACTGTGACTTGCAGTAGGAAATACATTTGATGTGGTGACCCAGTACATACACACATATTTACAAATGAAATAGAAGTTAATGAAATATTTGCCTTCGAACACACAAAGCTCTCCAATATCTTTTATTCTATATTCTTATTCCGTTCCCAGCTTTTTAAAGAAACAATGGTTGCAACCCACTAAATTGATTTCGCCACCCACTAATGGGTTGCAGCCCACAGTTGGACCAACCCCATGGTTTCAGTGAATTCATCTGCCTGTTTCTCCTGGGAGGTGTCGAGGCCAGCATTGCCGAGGGCTTTGGGGGTCAGCCTGGAACCGTGGATGGCTCACCCCCGCTGGAGTGGAAAGCCCAGCCCCCGCACCCGCCCACCCAGCAGGCAGGGGCCTGCAGCCCTGTCTCCCTATTCTGCACATGCCCGCCCAGCTCGGGGCTGCAGGGGTGGGGGTGGGCCTTGGACCCACCCGGCTTCTCGTCCTGGCTCTGCCATTTACCAGCTGTGTGTTGGTGGCCAAGTCCCTGCATCTCTTGAGACACAGTTTCCCCATCGGTAAAATAGAAATGAGAAACTCCACCTCACGGGGCCACTTTCCAGTGAAGGTAAATGAGTGCCCAGCCCCAAGTGGGTGCTCCGCAGCCATCTCTTCCTCTCGTTTCCCCATTGTTCAGTCTGGGCTCCACCCCGCTCCTTCTGTCTGTTTTCCTTCAGCATCAGTAGCCGGGCCTCTAGGTCCCCGTGACCTGCCTCTGTCCTCCCAGACTGGACGCTCCTTGAGGGCAAGGTCTCTCACAGGCCTGGCAGACGGGGTCACTTTCTGTGCGCACTGTGCTCGCCGCGCCCACGACCACCAACGTATTTAACATGGCAAACTCCACTCCAACACCAGTCGGTGCCTGGCCCTGCTCCTGTGCTTTGAGAAAGGAGCTTGCTTGACTGGATTCTTCCCTCCTGTCAGTCCCTAGGCAGGTGTTGATCAGCTTCTCTCCCTCCCGCTCGCCGCCGTTTCCCACCAAGGAGCTGGCGACCCAGGCAGCAGCTCGCACCTCCCCGCCAACCAGAGCCCGCCACCCGCACGCCCGCCGCCCACCCTTTGTTTTGGTTTAATTTTTGTTCTTTTAAGCTTCTCTTGCGCTTCTCCATGTGCTGTGATCTATAACCTGCCTCTACTGTCTGGCCTCACAGGGTCCTCCGGGGTCACAGCCCTCGCCGCACGCACAGCCTCCACCCCACAATCCCAGCAGCATGATGGGACCCCACAGTCAGGTAACGCGCTGGGCTCGCCCGCCCGGCCGGCGGGGGGCACGGGGCACCAGGAGGACAGAGCCAGCAGAGGAAAAACAAAAATCACAACGTGCTCTTGCCATTGCCTTCGAGTCTTGATTGACAAATGAAGCGTTTTGGAAAAATATATATATATATTATTTTCTAAAGAGAGTTTTCATTCCTTGGACATCACACCCGCCTGGATATGAAACCTAAAGAAGAGAAAGCCATTTCTGTGACCTTGTCAGCGGCCTTTGCGTTTTTGTTTTTTCCTCTCTCACTTTTGGTTTGGTTTTTGAGTTGGTTAACCATTCGTTTGTAATCGAAGCTGCATCCGAGCCTTTTCTTTGTGCACTCGCTGCTGAGAGCTTTCCTGCTCATTCCCTGCACTGAGTTAGGGAGCCGCTGTCCCCTCAACCTTCTCATTGTGCGTCCCCTCAGCCCTCGCTCCCCCTCCCACCCCTCTGTCAGTGGTCTCCGTATGTGTGTGCGCGCGTCCAGCTTTGCACACCCCGAAGAGCGTATGTCTAGGCTCCTTTCCTGATTCTTTGGTGTGCCCTTCCCAAGAGCAGAGGTTTCCCTCCCTTGCCCACATCGATGTCACTGTTCGTCCGCGTCCTGTGCCAAGTCCCAGCTGCTGCCCCGTCACCCAGAGTCGATCTCCGTGAACGGAGGCGGAGGCAGGGTCCCATGTGTGGTGGCACCTACCGCTCCCTCTATCCAAAGGAAGTTTTGCCCAGAGGGAAGAGGCCACTGGGAGAAAGAGAATTTAAAAGATGGCTAGTTGTAACCAAACTGGACTTTGTGGAGTGGAGCGCATTTGTTGTTTGTCACTGTGCGGGAGCGCAGGCTGTCATTGAACTGATTCCCTGTAATTGCAGCCTTTTATGTCACCGCGATACGCAGGCGGCCCCAGGCCCCCGATCAGAATGGGAAACCAGGTACGGTACCTCTTCATGTTCTCTCTCTCCCCTCACTCGGCCTCCCTTGACCCCAGTTGGACTTTGACTCCCATCAACATGTGAGGAAAGGATTGGGAGGTGGGGGGACAGGTTTTAACAAGGTAACTTTGCAAGCGGGTCCCCGGGAGGGCCCTGTGTCCACTCCGTGCCCTGGTGCAGCCCCGGCCAGCATTTTGCCTGCTCCTCTTGGGCAGCTCGGGCAGCAGTGCTGGAGCTTGGAGGGCACAGCAGCAGGCGCTGGGGTGGGAACACAGGGTTTCAGCTCTGCCAGGGAAGGTGGTAACACCCCCCTCTCCCTCCCAGCCCCTTCTTGGAAAAAGGTCTTCCTCCTTAATGAAGTTAATTGACAATGTGCATTTTTTCCTGGAAGCTTTAGCGAATTGCCAAGGCTGGTAAATGGAATCCTGCTATTAAGGGGAGAAATGGCCCGTAGGAATGCTTAGATCAGGAGCCTGGGAGGCAGCAGAGCAGGACGCTCGGGAGTTTTCAGCAATGTCTGCCTGCTTCCCAGACCCAGCTCCTCACAAGGAAGGGTTTGTTCCTGTAATTAGAAAAGCGGTCTGCTTACGGGGAGGACTCCTCGGCCTGGGGTGTGCGCCTCGTGCTGGCCCCTTGTGCTGGCAGTTCTAGGTGGTCTGGAGAATTGGCCCGGGCCCCGCCCCAGTTCAGCCCATCCAGGGGCGGGAGTGGAGCTGGTGACGACAGATGAATATCCTCTTTTGAGGACAGACCAAATCTTAAAGAAACTTAAGGGAAATTTCTTTTTATGCCAAAATATTTTTTATGTATAATTCTTTGACCTTGCAAAAGCCCTTAAAAAACCTGACAGCAGCTCCAGTGCCTCCAGCCCTTGTCGCCTCTGGAGCTGGGAGCTTGGTTGCCAGCTAGCTGAGTGTTCTCTGAGTGGGATTACTTCCTTCTCAAGGCTCCGCAAGAAGGCCCCTGCGTGAGCCGGTGTGCGGGGACCACGGAGTGCTGCTTCTAACCAGCAGCCTCCGGGTTTTGAAGTTAATTTGCCTCTCAGGTTCCCCCCCCCCCCCCCCTTTTTTTTTTCTTCAGAAGTCTTTTCTTTCCTATTTTCTCTTGACATGAAGGAGACGAATGTAGAAAGAAGAATTAGAGACTTGGTTTTTTGAGCAGGAGGGCCCCCTGGATACCTCACAGATGAGGACACAGAAGGTCAGGGTGGTGGGGCAGTGACGTCCGATGGTCTCCCCGTGAGCTGGGCTCCAGTCCAGCTCCCGCTCCGGAGCCAGTGCTGTCCGCACCTCACCTGTTATTTAGCTCTCGTGGCTGTGGAAGTGCCGCCCCTGCCTTTGTTTTAACCAGTCGGCAAGTGGGCCTCCTCCGCCATCGCACACCCGGGCCCCAGCTGCAACTCTCCCTCTGCCCGTGCGGGGCTCCCCTGGCCTGAACCGGCTCTGCCCCAGGACGCTTTCTTGTCATAATTGTGGCCCTTCCTCCAGCTGTGAAGGGACACGAGCGGAAACGTGTTTCTGTTTGTCAGTCAATCATGAGCACGTACCCAGGAGCAAATGGAGAATGAGTCGTTGTCCCTACCTGGTGTGACAAGCCGGTCTTCCCAACCTCCCACCACCCCCGTCAGAACGTGACACCGATTTTCCTGTTGTCCTCCAAGGGGGGGAGGATTTGCCCCTGGGAGTTCCTTGGAGAATGACTCGGTTGGGGCTGCCAGTCACCAGAAGCCTCCCGCCTACCCCCACCCAGCGCAGGTGGAGGCAGCAGAGGCAGCAGGACTGGCTCAGGCTCACATGGCCTCCTGGCTTAGGGCGATGAGAGGGCCCGTAGAGGGACAAGAATCTAAGGGTCATTGGCTTGCCACAAAGTCTTGTAAGAACCAGCCTCTTACCTGCCTCCAGACATTGCCCAACCCCCACAGCTGCTCCATCTACCTCAACATCCTGGGACCCCCCCAAATCAAACAGCCTCAGAGGCAACCAGGCTCAAGAAATCTCCCAGCCCCCCAAGAGGGCAGACACACACCAGCCAACTGACTCAGAGCTTGGGGACTTGGAGAGGACGCAGGGCTGAGAGAAAGCAAGAGGTCAGAGCAGCCTGAACCCCAACTGGAGAGAGAGACTGGGTGTCGTCGCCCAGTGTCCTGTTCCTTCTCTCTCCGCCCCCTCAGGTAGAAACGGGAGGTGCTCCCCAGGCCTGTGGCCATCCCATAAGCCTCCCCCGCCCTATACACCATACACACTGCATTTGGAAGTTGAACTGAAGACTGGTCCCTTCCCTTTCCACCACCTCGTTCCAATACCGGTTTGGAGTTCATTGTTGGGCCAAAGGCAGACCAGGGTCCCATTCAGCCCTCCCACGGCAGTGAACGGGTGGGGTGGGGGTCCCCATCACAGGTGCCACCTCGGAAGCACTGGCATCTGCAGGTGGGAAAGCATGACCTGCTTTCCCAAAGGCCTTTCCTCTCAAAGACGGGGCCCGCGTCTAGTCCTTGGGCCAGGGATTCTAGAGTAAAGTTTTACCCCAGTGCTCACTCTCTCTTTTGCAATGGCAGCTGAAATAACTTGAGTCCCAAGTAAATTACTTTTAAAATATATTTTTTTATTGATTTCAGAGAGGAAGGGAAAGGGAGAGAGAGAGAGAAACATCAATGATGAGAGAGAATCATTGATTGGCTGCCTCCAGCACGCTCCCTACTGGGGATCGATCCTGCAACCCGGGCATTGAACCATGTGTCCTGACCAGGAATCGAACTGTGACCTCCTGGTTCGTAGGTCAACGCTCAACCACTGAGCCACGCCAGCTGGGCCCCAGTAAATCATTTTAGTAGGTGTGCCAAGAAAGCCACGGCCCCCGGCCTTCGCCTTCCTAACAGTAACATCCCTGCATCAGGCCTGGGGAGCAGGCTCACAGCACCCTGCTCGCCCCGCTTCCGAGGCCTCTGCACCCCCGGCGTGGGGGGGTGGCATTTCACGTGAGGGACTCAGCAGTCCCGGGTGGTCTTTTTGGCTCTGCCAGTAGGTTCCTGGGGCCTCTGGGCCTCGTTCCCCTCTGCCTCCATCTCAAAGCCACCTCCTCCCATTGTTACAGGGTTTGAGCTGGTGGGTCTCCGGATCCCCACAGTTTAGAGATAAGGACAAAATGAGTTACATCTCCATGAGGCGAAGGAGAGACAGGGTAGGGGGTTGGTAGTGAGAGGGAGGGGCTGTTGCCGCTGAGGAGTGGTGGCGGGCAGCGTGGCCAGAGCGAGACCCGGCTGCAGCGGGATACGGGCCCACAAAGCAGCAGGGCGGAGCAGTGGTTCCTCGCCCAGAGACGAAGCCCGACCCACACGGGTGCTAAGGCCCCCGGCTGGCTGCCACCCCCAGGGGACCTCCCCCCGGCTGGCAGGCAGCAGGAATGGTCTTGGGGAGGACATGAGTGGCCCTAGCTGGTCAGGTGGGGAGCTGGGGCAAGCAGGCATGTCCCCCTCTGTCCTCCAGCCTGGGGAGCAGCCCTCAGCTCCTGTCTCATCTCTTTCAGCCTCCGGGAGGAGTTCCTGGGACACAGCCACTGCTGCCCAATTCCATGGACCCCACACGACAGCAAGGTAGAGAGGGATGGGTGGGCCGCTGGGGCGTGGGGAGTCGGAGGGGCTCCTCCCTCTACTGCCTGCCCTGCCACTCACCGCTCACCTACTCTCTCATGCAGGGCACCCCAACATGGGAGGATCAATGCAGAGAATGAACCCTCCCCGAGGCATGGGACCTATGGGTCCTGGCCCACAGGTAACTGCCTGTGTCCATCCATTCCCCTGACCATCTGTGTGCCCCCGCCTTCTCTCCTCCTCCACAGTCTGTCAGCCTTTCCACCTCGCTCGGCTTGCAGGGATGAGAGCAGAGGGTCGGCCAGGTCCCCAGCTCCTCTCTGCCCCAGGCTCACTGGCCCCACGCACAGCCAGGAACAGCCCCTCAGCAGGCAGAGGGGAGGGACCCCAGGGAGGGTCCTGGTTGGCTGGCCCTCCCGGGGAGGGGTGTGCTAGCCTGTGGTGTGAGGGGTTGGGAAGGCAGAGGGGCTGTACCCAGGCAGTGGGTGGTCCTCCCGGAATCCCAGAGCCTCCTCCTGTCCTGGGTGGGAGGACTTGAGCTTTATCATGACCCAAAGGCGGGACAGATGAGCGGCTGTCCTAGCTCTGTTTCCAGTTCACCACGGACAGACAGTTTCTCCTCTGTGGGCCCCCGAGGCCTCTGTCCCCCCTGGTGCCACCAGGTGGGAGGAGGCCAGGCTACCCAGGCCCAGCTCACTTCAGCCCAGAGCTTTTGCCTGTGTTATAAGCTGGGGCCCTGCCGAAGATTTCAAGTGCCCTGTCTACCTCTCTACGGTTACCACACAGCGCTCGCTCCCTGTGCCGCAGCTCCGTAGCCTGTCACCGGGACGCCCCCCAGGGCCAGCAGGCAGGGTTGGCAGGCCATCCCTGTTTCAGAGCCTTCTCGCGGTTGGCTCCCATCTTAGTGTGGGAAGGTGGCTGCTCCTGCAGGAGCTGTGGCAGGTGCTCTGCTCTCCCCCTTGGGAAGACTGCCTGAAAGAAGCCAGAAGTTTGGATCAGGGGCGGAGCTCCCTGGAGTGAGGGCAGAGGGTCCTTCACTTCCTGCCCCGCCCAGGAGCCTGCTTCTCCTTCCCACCTGCTTGTAGATGTTCGGATGCTCTGGGCCCCTCCCAGATGTTTGGTTTCTGGTTCCCTGGGGCTGGAGTAGCATCCCCCCCACACACACACACACACCTCCCTTTTGTGGGAAGGGGGTCTCTGCACCCCAAGCCCCCTGCCCCCTCCCCGCATTGTGCTGGCAGCAGGCCAGCCCCTGCCTTCTCGGGGTGCTGCCTTGGTGGTGGGGACACCTCAGGGAGGCCTTGCCCTAATCCTAAAAGGCAAGCCCACTCCAACAGCAGCCTGTTGTCCTGGTGTTTTTCTTTCTTTCCCCCAAACCTGACTTTAGCCCCACTTTCCCTGTGACTTGCCGTGTGGCCTTGGGCGAGTCTCTGGCCTCCTTGGTCCTCCAGCTCGTCATCTGTGAAATGGGGAGGTGTGAGTGGCCCTCCAGGGTCCGCGCTTCTCAAGGAGAGAGGACCTGGTGGGCACGGTCCCTCCAGGAAGCAGCCCTGCTGCTGTTGGGTGGGGCAGGGGCAGGAGCCACAGGTGGTGCCCGGACCCTCCCTGAGGCGTCTTTGGGGAGTGAGCACCCTACTTGTCATCTCCTCTCTCTGTGCGACGGTGTCCTGGGCTTCCGCCCGCCCCAGGCCTCCCTCCCCGCTTTTGCTCCAAGTGCAGGTTGCTCTCCTGCTGGGAGGGCAACAGGACGCAGCAGCTTTGGCCCCTGGAAGACAGACAGATATCTCTCTCTCTCTCTCTCTCTCTCTCTCTCTCTCTCTCTCTCTCTCGGCTGCCTGGCCAGGCGGTGAGCTTCCTGTTCTGTTCTGGAGGAGCCCAAATGAGGCCGAGATTTGTAGAGGGGATTTCGTAGCTGCACGTGGGGCTTAGAAAGGGTCCTTCAGGAGCCGAGGTTCTGTGATGCTTAAGGCAGGATTAGGGGCTTTGGCATTTGTTCTGCTGCCCACATCCAGTCCATGCACAGCGCTGAGGACTGACAGCACTTCAGAGCCAGCATGTCGTCATCTGCTCACGGGCCCTGTCGGGTTGGCCGTTCTTTGTCTCCAGTCTTTGGACAAGGCACCCCAGTCCCAGCTCTGCTGCTGGCGTAGCTGCTAGAGGCACTGTCACTCCGCTTTTGTGCCTAGGTTTTTTAATCTTTAGAATGGGAATAGTGGTGGGGTTGTGAGTGATTACAGATAAGTGATAAAAAGTACATAGCACGGCCTGGCACAGGTAAGCATTATTGTTAATTGTGGAGTTTGCCCAAAGTAGCCAGCAAGTGGCTGAGCCCGGGTGCTAACCTCCCCTGTGTGCTGACCCCAAGTCCGTGGCTCTACTCACTGCCCCCTGACATCTCTACAGTGGGCCTGGCCCCTGCATGTCCCTGGAGCCTCCACTGTTTGCTCGATCAGGCGTGTGGGAGGCGGGCTTTAAGAGTGCTGGCTGGCTCTGGCTGGTGTTGCTCAGTGGTCATAGTGTTGCCCACACACTGAAGTGTTGTGGGTTCTATTCCTGGCCCCTGTTGGGAGGCAACCAATCAATGTGTCTCTTTCACACCTATGTTTTCCTCCCTCCCTTCCTCCCTCCTTCTCTCCACCCCTCCTCCTTCCTCCTGCCCTTCCACTCTCTAAAAATCAATGGAAAAACTATCCTTGGGTGAGGATTAAGAAATAAACATTTTAGCCCTGGTTTGGCTCAGTGGATAGAGCGTCGGCCTGCGGACTGAAGGGTCCCAGGTTCGATTCCGGTCAAGGGCATGTACCTTGGTTGTGGGCACATACCCAGTGGGGAGTGTGCAGGAGGCAGCTGATCGATGTTTCTCTCTCATTGATGTTTCTAACTCTCTATCCTTCTCCCTCTCTGTAAAAAATCAATAAAACATAAAAAAAAAAAA